TTACATGGCAAGTATGAAGCCAGCCTGGCCTACATGAGACCGTTTTGAAAAAATAAAACAAAATGTATAACCCAGCCCAGACCCTGGATTAATGGTATGAACAGCAAGTGCCACTCTGTCATCTGATACTTGTGTGATCTTGAGCATGCTAATTAATCTCTCTGAATCTGAACTGTTAGGTGTGTAAAAGTATGGCATCACCTTCTGCATCCATGAGGATCAAATGAGGACAAAGGTGTAGGCATGCTGCATTCTAGAAAGTGCTATGTCTTTGAAGTGTCACCATTATCACCATAATGAAAGCTTGAACAGCAGTTCCTATTATACAATCACCACAAAAGCAGCACCAAGGATGTTCCTGGGCATAAAGGAGCTTGGAAGTTTGGGTTTCGGGGGTAGCCCCTGCTCTGGAATTTACCCTTTTACTAGTGTTCATAATTAAAAGCCTTCTCAGAGTTTTGAGCTTCTAGATTACATACAATTTAGTCTTTTATTATGTTTGCCTAATAGGCCATCAGTCCTAGGGCCCACCCTCTATTTCAGAGCTCTCAGGCTGGATTTGGTCGGTGGAGAGGGGAAAGGATACACCAGGTTCAGAGGAGAAACCACACCAAGACCACATACAAATGCGCTCTTACAAGGTTATTATTTGTGTTGAGACCATGTACAAAGGTGAGGTTTCTGAGGCCTATTTCCTGGTGATCTGACCTATGGACAGCCTGGCTGCTGGTCCCTGATACCAACAGGCTGTCAGCCATGTCCCTCCCAACAAGGAACAACCTTTATTCTTCCACTCTAACCTACCTAAATCTGTGTCCAGTTTACAGCACACACACAGAAATGGTCTCCACTTTGCTTGAGGCAGAGAGTTCACTTCTTGGAAGTGGGCATGGTTAGTGAGGACCTATTAGTTTTTATTTCAGGTGGCCTCATCACCAAGCCTTGCTACGCCCGTCTCTCCAAAGATATTATGCTCCTGGAAGGCAGGGGCTGTGTCACATTGTTTAATTGCTTTTCACCTACATTATAGTAGGTCCTCAATAAATGCGCACTAACTGCACTCTGCCTGTAACCTGTTTTGCACTTTCATGAACGCTTGTGAGTACATTTGCCTGTCACTAAGACATTCATTCATTTGCTCATTCACTCACTGAGCACTGAGTGACTCATCCCATATCAGGCACTGTACCGTAGAAAGTGATTCAGAAAGATCAGTGCTCCCAGACAGCCCTGCACCTGGCCCAGTCCTGGTGATGTGAGTGTGGGTGACCTGAATCTGAGGACCTGAGAGCAGAACTGGCTCACTCCTTGTGTCAGGCCGCATTGGGTGAGCTAGCCAAGGCAGTGCTGGAGAGCTAACCTGGTTAATAAGCAGGAGGAAAAGCTGGCAGGCTGACCAACACGGCTACCTCCAAGGCCCAGAACCAGAGCTATGATCTGACCCCAACATCTACCTCATGGATGAACTGTTGGAGCATGTGAAGGGGACGAACCTACAGATCCAAAACAGTAGGATCTCCATGACACAGGACAACAGGAAATGCAGGAGAAGCCCCAGTGAGAGCCCATTATCTGTGGTTGTAGCAGAAATCAGAGGCCTCAAGACAGACCAATGATAGGCAACCAACACTCGCAAGTTAAGATGAATGGACTAAAGGGTAAACTGTGTGACTCAACAGGACATACTACAGCTTCCACAGCAAGATTCTTTGGTTTGGTTCGTTTTTTTGTTTTACTGTTTTGATTGGTTCTTGGTTTTCCTTTTAAATTGGTTTTTGATTTGGAGGATAGGTTACAAGGGCAGAGGGCAAATTCCAGGGGATGGGGAGATAAGTGAGATTGGAATGTATGATGTGAAATCCACAAAGATACAGTAAAAGTTTAAAAAAAAAAAACAATGCTCCCAGCAGAAGTTTGCACGGCGGGGTGAGGTGGGGATGGGTTGGGGGTTAGGCAACAGAAGCAAAGGGACTGGGGCTGGTTAATTCTTCGTTAGACTTTTGGCAAATAGCAGAGGCTTTCCAGAGGAAAGGAAATTTCTTCTGGGTCTTATAAGATCACCAGGAAAGCCCCAGGAAGGAAAAAAGGAAGAGCAGATAGGTTGCAACACACATTCATGGCTCTAGGATTACCTGGAAGATGGGACCTGGGCATGATGCATGTAGAGGACTATCTTCATGTAACGCATGTGGAAAGACCTATGTTTATTGTGGGCGGACCCTTCCTGAAAAGGGGATCCAGGCCTCTAGAAAATGGAGAAAGTCAGCTAAGTGGGAGCATGCATTCATTCCCTCATAGGAAGGTTGGCCACTTCAGCTATGCTGCCCTGACTTCATGGTGGACTGTTCCCTTGAACTATGAGGTGAAATAAACCCTTTCTCCTTTGAGTCACTTTTGTCATGTATTTTATCATAGCAACAGGCAAGGAAACCAAGACAGCCTCCCAGGAGGTCATTTATATCACAAAGGCAGGCCAGACAGCTGACCCTCCTCAGCCACAGCTCCTTCAGGCTGGGAAGAAGACACAGAGAAGACGTAACGGAGCATGGAGATGGCATGGTGGTTATGTCCTGGGGAAGCCAGGCTTTCTTGTTGAGGAGTAAAAGAACATAAGTGAATAAGGGGGAACATAAGCTTGTCACAGAAAAGGAAAACTAAGAAGAATATGTGAATTTTAGACAGTAGGAAGCAACATGGAACCAAGAAACATCTTCTAGGCTACCAGCTGGCTGTATCCCCGGCAGCTAGTGGAAAATTCCAGCCCGATGGCTCGCAAAGCTACATTCTGGGTACAACGGGTGTCTCCCAACCATGATGAAAATCTTTTTGTGGTCCAAGCTGCTCATTATTCCCCCAAGCTGCCTCTCTGGGCCTAGGCCAAGGAACCCATGAGAAGGGGGAATCAGAAGTTCAGAGTCTATATACCCCGAGGATGCACAGCCATGGGTAAGCTTAGCAACATCCTCGCCCTACATGTACCAGGATAAATACAGACTATCTCTAGGCCATGGAAAATGTCCAGACTGAGCCTGAGAGCTAGAAATAGCCCCATCAGCCACCCCACAACAGCAAGTCTCATCTCTCCCAGAGCAGTGCATTAGCAGAGTTTGTTTTCCTAGTGTAGCAGAGCCCAAAACATTGTAATAAGAGTTGTGTTTTCTTTTCCACTCTTCTGGGAAGGAAGATAACAGTAACAGCATGCAACACATATTCTGTATGCATCGCTTCCCTCTTACTTCAACTCTGCCAGGTAGTTGGTACTTTCTGCAATAGGGCTGAAAAAGCGAGGTTCAGGCGCCTTCTGGGGTATGGGGTATGGTGGAATGAAACATGAAGTCCAACACAGCTGACTCCAACCCAGGCTCCCCTTCACCACAGCAAACCCTCTTACTTCTATCAGCCACTAGAGAAACAGTAGTAATTCAAAATACTGTGACAACTGCCTCCAGTATAGGGACCATGCTAGAATAAGAGCCGCAACAGGGATCCATGCATAGGAACACAGCCCACATCCTGGGATGGCTGCTGTAAGACTGTGGGCATGTCATATTCTCTCTGGATCAGTCCCTCAAACCAAAACTTCGTGTCATTGTGGATGCTGCCTCACCCTCACCTGTACATGAAATTAGGCACCTAAGCTGCTCAGCTGCCCCCATTCCATCCACTTTCCCAGCCAGAGTGACTCAAGCTAAAATATATGTCTGCTAACTGCAAATCTCTCGGGATAAAGGGCAAGGGGCAAAGGAAGGGTAAAGGGCACCTCCTCGGCTCAGCTTTAGCGTTTCTCAGCTGCCTCCTGCTCTCTTCCCAGCCTCTTCTGCAGGCACGTACACATTCCCTTTTTCTGTACTTCATTGAGTGAATTGTGCTGTTACTATGATCTTGTACACATGGACACGGACCTTTCCTTCTGCAAATCCCTGCCGATTCTTTAGAAAATTCAAATGCCAGCTTTTCCAGGCAGCCATCTCTGATAAGTTTAGGATGAGTTAGAGGTCTGCCCTTCAGGTTCACCGGCTTCCCCAGTGCTTCCCTCTGTTACACTCTTGATCTCTCTTTCCTGTCTCCTGCAGGAAAAGAGAAGCAAAGCCCAGGGCACAAAAGAACACAGGGCTTTCTGCAGAGAACACTAGATAGACAGCCAGGTGTGGTGGTGTATATGTGTAAGCCCAACACACAGGAAGCAGAGGCTGGAGAATCAAGAGTTCAAGGCCAGCCTGGGCTACATAAGACCGTGACTCAAAAGCAAATAAAGAAGTAATGGCAACTAGCTACGGGTGGGTCTCCTCCCATAAACAGAGGTCTGTACATGAGTTGAAGGGACCCCCATGAGTCAGCTATCCTCGAAGACCCATCAGTGCATGTGCCTGAGCTCAGTTACTCAGAAGGCCAACCTTTCTGCCTTGACCACAGTCATGCTCTATGCATGGTCACAATGAACTTTCTCAACCCAGAATACCAGTTACCACAAATTGTCAGTGGGCCCTGGAAGCAGTCCTATGGCTCTAGTTTGGAATGAGATGGGCATAGGCCACCAATGGTCCTTGGGCTCCAAGATCTATAATCTCTGGGGAGGGGACAGGAGGCCACACTGTGCTGGGTCTAGAGTGTCAGCCAACCTCGGCAATTCTGCAAACCCTGCTAGTTCTGCCCACTCATGGCTTAGCTCTTCCTTGTCAGTCAGTTTCCTCTTGTAAAATGGGTTTTGCTTCAAGTTTCTTGTTGCTGGTTTTGTTTTGTTTTTAATTATGCATCATCTACTCCCTGGAAGATATAGTTGATCAAAGAGCATCTTGTGTCAGCCCCCATGTGCAGAAGACCTGATGGGAGAAGTGAACTGAGGTGGACACTTGCAACAGGCTATTTTTCCCCTCGAGGTCAGGATTTTGGGTTGAAGATGAGGACAGTGGGCCTGTGAGAAGTGGACCCTTCCTATGGATGACAAGGGGACATGGTCCCTTCTTCCTAAACACTTCTTTTGCTTTATTCCCCTTACTGACCTTGAGATCAAAGTGGGCAATTTTCTTTGTGTGAAGGTAGTTCACCCCGTCCAGGATCTGCTTAATGAAGCTGGTGGCTTCCTCTTCACTTAACGACTCCTTCTGGGCCAGGAAATCGAACAGTTCTCCTCCGGATACTCTGGAAGATACCAGTTAGTTTTGTATGTCATGAGGCCTGGTTGATGAGTGCAGTTCCTACACATATCTCAGAGTCTCTGGAAAATAGAACCCCCTTGCCCTGCCTGGAGCTAACCTTGGTCTAACTACACCAAAGACTGGCTTGGCTTCTTATTCTTTCTGTTGAACCTCAGAGTCAAGAATCACTATTTGTGTGTTCCCAGAAAGACCTCTGCTAGTGCTGTAGGCCCAGGTCCCTCATTACTCAGAATATTACCCTTTGCCTGTAAAGGCTGTGCCCTGCTCTGAATTACATTTTAGATAGAGCAGCAGTCCGTTCTCAGTCACTCTATTTTGGGTATAAATACTAAGGAAGAATGACCTGGCATCTAGCTAGTCAGTGAGGGTGTGGCATACATGCCATGGCACACAGGCAGAAGTCAGAGGTCAACTTGATGGAGTCAGTTTTCTCCTTCCAATCATGTTTGTTGCAGGATTGAACTCAGACTGTCAGGCTTGGCAGCAAATATCTCTACCTGCTGAGCCCTCTCCCCAGACCCTGACTTGGTATCATGTTTGTCCATATGAACCAATACTCTCTGGCCCACACATCCAAAAGGCAGAGAGTAATGAGTGATTTATTTGCGTTAATAAAAATTATCTCCTGAGAATTCATTGAACCCACAAGACCAGTGAATGGCATGCTCCCCTCCCCCAAGATTTACGAAAGAAGCCACAGCTACAGCATGGCACACTATCACATCACTGTCATGGACCCCTCCAATGTGCCTTTGCCCTGTAGATCACCAAGTAACAAGTTTCTAATTGTCCTGGACTCAGGTAAGCATGATTTCCCTTGCTCTTGGCACTGCCACTTGGAAGCTACCCAGACCCTGTGTCTGATCTCTGCGTTATTCTGTGTTTGTGTTGACCCTTTACACATGCTCTGGATGTGTACACATTTGTACTCATTTGTGTACACAAGCATGTAGGAGCAAGAGGTTGGTGTCAAGTGTCTGTCTCAAGTGCTCTCTACCTTACATTTTAGGACAAGGTCTCTCACTGGTTCAGTGAGAGCTTATGGGTTCAGCTAGACTGGATGCCAGCAAGCTCTTCCTGGCTCTTCTTCCCCAGAGCAGAGATAGGAGATGTGGAGCTTTTATGTGGGAGCTGCAGATCTGAACCTGGGTCTTCATGCTTATGCAGCAAGCATGTTACCGACTGAGCCATGCCCAGAGTCCTGGCATCACTCTGCATTGTCTTTTAAAATCCTACAGTTTAGCCAGGTTTGGAGGTACACACCTTTAATCCCAGAACTTAGAAGATGGAGGCAGACCTCGGTGAGTTCCAGGACATCCAGAGCTACACAAAGGATCCTATATATGGGGTGTGTGGGTGTGTGTGTGTGTGTGTGTGTGTGTGTGTGTGTGTGTGTGTGTGTGTGTGTGTGTACGTGTTTTCTTTAGCTTTGCTTAGCTCTTCTGTAACTTACAAATATTGTGTGAAGTGTGGCATATGTAATAATTAAAATTCACACCCATAGATCTGGTGCCCTCTTCTGGTGTGCAGATATACATGGAAGCAGAATGACTGGTAGGTTTGGGGGAGCAGCCACTCAGATTACTTTCTGTCTCTATCCTCATAGCTGCCATAAAAGAAATAACAGGTGCCCTGCCATGGCTGTCTGGGTGACTATGATTCTCACTTCCCCAAGAGAAGCTTTATAAGCACCCTAAGCAATGAGGGGCTTCAGGCAGCACACCCTGTATGATAGACACATGTATGAATTAAATGACCAAATCTTTCCCCTTCCCCCACCACCCAGGAATCAGAGGCAGCCTGACCACAAGCATATACTGAGGGCTACTTGTGAACTACATAGTATAGGATCACTGTCCCATCTGAAACCTACCAAAGAGATCATTTAGCCCTGTGGATCTAAACTCTCTTCAAAATGCTTGGCATGTCTATCTGTCTATCTACAACACTAATAATTCTTCTAATCTCTTACCCAAGAGGACACTCTGCCCAGTGTTTACCATGAACCCCAGAAACCTTTCAGTTACCCAGGAAGACCACTATCTAACAAGCAAGTTCTCCCCAGACAAGTCTCCTGGAGCCTTGGACTTGAATTTCCCAGCCTTGAGAAGTGTAAGAAATAAATGTTTGATTAGCCACCTAGTTTGTGGTATTTTGTTATATAGCTGCTTGAAGAACCTAACAATGGACATTTGTATTGAGTGGGGTGATACTGTGACCAAAAAAACAAACCTAAGGATATGGAAGTGGCTTCGGAAGTAGGTAAGAGGCGGCTGAGGCCAGATGAGCTGTGAGATGCATGCTGGGATATATCTTCAATGTCATCTGCAGAGAATGGCTCTGGGAAGGGAGGGATGCTGGTAAACACCGATGGCAACCACCATTCTGATGAGGATGACAGGTGGAATTGAGGAATGTGGAATTGGTTGATGTTGGATAGACGATTAGAAAGACCACTTTTGTAATAAAATTGCAGAGAAATTTCACTGACTTTTTGTTGTTTTAACTTTAGCACAGTGGCTGTGACTTCTACTGCTATCTCAGACAGCAATTGCAACTCCCCAGTTCCCAGCCTGCTTCTCTAGCAGCAACCTGGCCATTCAGGCTGCAGCCTGGAGGAATTCTGCTCCAGCCCTGGTTTGGGGGAGCCCTGTTGCTGCCACTAAAGGTAGTTTTAACTAAATCTCTGTCATTCTATTTACGAATGAGACTTGAGATTCAAAGGCTGGGATAAAACCTGCAAGCTCAGAGAGGCTGAATAGCAACTGGCTAACCTCCTGGTGTCCATGGAGGACCCCTGCTTCGGCTTCGCCAAACCAAATAAGGCTGTACCACTCCAAACCCCACCCTACTACTTCCTATCTCTCTCTGTCTCTGATGCTTTCTGTCAGCTAGTTGCTAACACAGCCTTCTGACCCAAGGTTAATTTTAATTAACGTGAATGCAAACTCGAGGGTCACAGTACAATTGAATATCCCCCAACAAATTTTGATCACGTGCTAGTGTCTTCTGGAAAGTCAAACTTGTGAGTGACGAGATTGGATATCTGGCTGAGAAAATGTCTAAATACAGTGCTGATGAAGCATTCTGGTTTCTCTTGACACAGTGAAATTAAACGGAGAGGACAAATTTTTAAAATGTAGTGTGTATGTCTCTCTGTGTGTGTGTGTGTGTGTGTGTGTGTGTGTGTGCAACTTGCAGGAGGTGGTTCCCTCCTTCCACCAGATGGGTCCCAGGGATCAAACTCAGGTCCATCAGGCTTGGTGGCAGGCACCCTTATTCATTGAGCAATCTCACTGGCCCAAAGAGCAGTATTTTTAAATATAATTATTAGTTAAATAAGGAAAACATAAAAGTTTGAAGTCAAAGCCTATTCCTACAGGGAAGAAAAAAATGAGAAAAATCTGTGAAGGAGAGAACACAGGTGTGGCTGAGGATTGCTTGATAAGATTTACATGGATCAGCTATCCCAAAGTAGGCCAGGTGTTATTCATCAAGACAATGAGGGAGATTAGTCAACTGTATAAAGGCCTATTGTCCAAGACAATGAGATAATGATTTCAAGTCATCTTAGACTTCATATGGGGGTAGAGCTCCACTCCCATCACAAGGCCACATTCAGGGACCCGAGGGCAGAACCCTATCAAAGGAAGAGCCCAGCCACTGCCCAGCACTGGTTCATATGGCGGTCTTTTCTTCCTAAACTCTAACAAGCTCATCAGTCACACCAGGTGTGGCTCCCACTGGCTCCTGCCTGAAGTGATTGCTCTGTGCCAAGCAAAGCTATGGGGGTGTGGCTACTTCCACCTGGATTTCAAAGGATGCCTCAGAGTTCAGTGGCCCCTGGAAAGAGAACTGTGGGTGGGTGGAGGCCATGTAGAGAGCACCCACTACAGTAATACCCAGAAGGCCATAGGAATGGGGTTTCCCTGAGACGCTAGACCAGTAGGCCCACAGGTGTGTGTACTGTTCTAATCTGGAAGAGTCACAGACAGGCAACTCCAACCTGTGAGGGCTATGGTGTGGGCTGCTCCCAGCAAAGATGAGGGCAGGGTTACCCAAAGTTGTTATGCAGGATCTGTGTGTGCCCTGATGGGCCTGAACAGCAAAATATTTTGCCAAAATGATTCTGAAGCTGTGAGGTCTTAGACTGACTCAAGACCAGTAACTCATTTTTTTTTTTTCTTTCTTTCCTAATTTGCTCCTTTGGGATAGAAAGATCTATACTAAACCTACCCCACACTGAATTTTAAAACTGCAATGCTTGTGTGATGTTCTCATCTCAACTACAGTGTATTTGCCTCTGAGTGAATCACCTTGATTCTCACCCATAACTGTTGTAAATGTGTTCTCCTAAGGCACTGACTTGTGTTTGCTTGTTTTGTTCTTTAAGACAGAGTCGTTTTTTTTTGTTTGTTTGTTTTTGGTTTTTTTTGTTTTTTTGGTTTTTCGAGACAGGGTTTCTCTATGTAGCTTTGGAGCCTATCCTGGCACTCACTCTGGAGACCAGGCTGGTCTCCAGCTCACAGAGATCAGCCTGCCTCTGCCTCCCGAGTGCTGGGATTAAAGGCTTGCGCCACCAACGTCCGGCAACAGAGTCTTTAAGAAAGTGAAATGTTTGTTTTCTAGAAAGCAATATAGAAAAGCTCCTTGAAGCATCCGGTTAATCGGTGCAGGGGTTGAGAGCCTGGTACCTGCGGGTGTTCCATTGCTTCAGATGGCTCCATCATATGGTTTTGGCTAGTTTCCATTGATGTTCAAATTCTAATTTTAAATAAATGATTACATTGTGCATTGAAAAAACAAAACAAAACAAACAAACAAAAAACCCCAGTCTTTCTTTGTAGCTCTGGCTGGCCAAGAACTTGCTCCGTAGATCAGGCTGGTTTCAAACTCACAGAGATCTGCCTGCCTCTGCCTACTGAGTGTTAAAAGAAATGTGTGCACCACCATGCACCACACATTTAAACAGTGTACTATCAC